AAAAAAAAAAACCAGCCCCAGCAGGAAAGTCAATGAGACGCTTAAATCCAATTAACCACCCAAAAACCAGAAGTGGAGTTGTGGCTCAAAGTGGTAGAACACTAGCTTTAAGTAAAAGAGCTCAGCACCCAGGCTCAAGTTCAAGCCCCACAACCAACAACAAACAACAACAAAAATAGTGGTTGCCAAGGGCTAGAAATGGGTACAGGATTTTCTTTAGAGTAATGAAAATATTCAGGGCCTAGGCAGAAGTGAGAGATTCATGATATGATGACTGTACTAAATGCCAGGGAATTATATACTTTGAGGTGGCTTTGTTAGGAGAATCCAGCTTGAGTAAATCTATCAGCATAACCTTAGCATCCCAGGTCCAAGTGGCTCTACCACATGCAGGGGCTTGTGCAGGACAGGTGAATCACTGGATCCCAAAGAGTATGAAGGAGCCTATCCTCCCTCCCACAAAGACAACTTCCTGAGGTCCATGGGGCTAACATGCTGGAGAGTCCAGCAGTTCAGCTCACAGAAGTCATGAAAGGAAGAGGAGAGAAGTCTGGTCCCTTTCTGAGTTGCCATCCCATCCAGCCACATACCACACCTTCCCATGGAGATTTAAGATTTCTCCTCTCTCTTCCCTGCCATCCTGGAGTCTCCCTGAAGCTGAGGACTGCCTCCCCCCAGCTCCCTACTCCCCCCCACATTCAGACTCTCCTCATAGTCTCACCTCTGGTCACAAAATGAAGTGGGAGAGTCGGAAATCCTTTTTTTGGGGGGGGTGTTGGTCGTGGGGCCTGAACTCTGGGCCTGGGCACTGTCCCTCAGCTCTTCAGCTCAAGGCTAGTGCACTACCACTTGAGCCATAGCACCACTTCCGGCTTTTTTTTTCTGCTTATGTGGTACTGAGGAATCGAACCCAGGGTCTCATGCATGCAAGGCAAGCGCTCTACCACTGAGCCACCTTCCCAGCCCCAAGCTGGAAATCTTATTAGGGGAGGTGAGGATCAGTAGGGGTCAGTAGGTGGTGAATGTGAACCAGTAAGGATGCTAGTGTTATTAGGCTGAACATGGTAAGTCATTTCTATAATCTCAGCTACTCAGGAGGTAAAGATCAGGAGAACTGTGGTTCAGCCTGTCATCCCAGCATTGCAAGAGACTGTAGGTATGAGAATTAATGTTTGAGGGCCAGCTTAGCTCAGGTCTCACAAACTTGAGACCTTACCTGAAAAATAACTAAAGCAAAAAGGGCTGGAAGTATGACTCAAGTAGTAAAGTGCCTACCTAGCAAGCCTGAGGCTAAGTTCAAACCCCAGCACTTCCCCCAACCAAAAGAGCCTAATTTTCAAGTTAGTATTTAGCTCCAACCTCATCCTCAAGTTCTATTGTGTAGGAGTCTAGCTAAATGGGGGAGTGGGGAGAAAGCAAGTTATGCATTGGGTAAGATGTTGGCCTCCATGGCTGTCCCTGTGCTGAACACTGAGTGCTGAATACTTTGCCTTGATGGCTCATTTAAACCTTACTTACAACCTCCCTCTTAGCAGAGACTATAGGATATTCACTTTGCAAAGGCTTCAAAAGGCCATTCGTGCAGCTGGTAAGTGATGGATCTGGGCTTTAATGCTTGCATGCTTACAACCAGTGCCACTCCCCCCGCCCTCCTACCCCCCCCCCCCCCCGCCCTTTGCTGGGTCTTTTGCTGAGACATCCCCTTCTAGCTGGATTGGGAGAATGCAGGAAAAATCCCAGCCTTCTCCTCCACCCCTCAGCCAGTAACAGCTTCTCTACTTCCCGGATGAAGGGCGGCCCCTGAAGCCAGCAGCAAAGCCAATCCTTCCCCCCCCCCAAAGCCACAACCCCTGAAGTCTCCTGGCAGCTAACAGCCCTGACTTACAGGACCTGCCAGAGGAGAAGTGCTCCCAACGGAGATTCAGGTAAGTGTCACCTTTTCCTGGGAGAGATGGGAGGGCATCAGGGTTTGGAGACAAATGGCTTTCCTGTGTAGGACCCTGAGATTCTTCCCAGAGGCAAATTGTGTGTGTGTGTGTGTAAATAGCAAGACAAGACAAAGCAGGAACCCTTCACGTAGCCCTGCTCCAAAAGCATGCCCAGGAGTGAAGCACTCACACAAACTGCTTGGTAACACCTGGGCTGAAAGGGGGGGGGGGGTAAAACTGGCTGGAGCTAGGTGCAAACAGTCCAGATCTCTGCCAGCACTGAAGAGACAGTGTCTCTGCTCAGTGTGGATGTTAAACATTCTCTTTTCATCTCTTTAGCCCCAGAATCTTCCATCTCCCCTTCACCCCCAAGTTCTTGGGCTGTTTTCCCTTCTCTTCCAACCTTCCCTTCTTCCCAGCAGGTGTTAGCTGGTCCCCATGTCAGTCAACCTCAGCTCTGGGCCGGGCCCCTCGGAGGGTTCCACTCCAGGGCCCCACCATGACTTGGGAGAGATCCACAACTGGACTGAGCTGCTGAATTTTCTCAATCACACGTTGTCTGAGTGCCACGTGGATCTCAACGAGAACATCAAGCGGGTGGTCCTCTTTGTCCTCTACCTGGCCATCTTTGTGGTGGGGCTGGTGGAGAACCTCTTGGTGATATGTGTCAACTGGCGCCACTCGGGCCAAACAGGCCTGCTAAACCTCTACATCTTCAATATGGCAGTGGCAGACCTGTGCATCATCCTGTCCCTGCCCGTGTGGATGTTGGAGGTCACCCTGGACTACACCTGGCTCTGGGGCAGCTTTTTCTGCCGCTTCACTAATTACTTCTACCTTGCCAATATGTACAGCAGCATCTTCTTCCTCATGTGCCTTAGCGTGGACCGCTATGTCACTGTCACCTGTCACTCTCCCATCTGGCAGTGCCATCAGCATCGAATACGACGGGCTGTGTGTGCAGGTGTCTGGTTCCTTGCAGCCATTATGCCACTGCCAGAGGTGGTACACATCCAGTTGTTGGAGGGCTCCGAGCCCCTATGCATCTTTCTGCCTTTGGAGACATACAACACCTGGACTCAGGTGGTATCCCTGTCCACCACCATCCTGGGCTTCCTGCTGCCTTTCCCTTTCATCGCCATCTTCAATGTGCTCCTGGCCTGCCGGCTTCGGAGACAAGGGCAGTCTGAAGGCTGGCGCTACAGCCTGCTGGTGTGTGGCTACATCACCGTCTTTGTCATCTGCTGGCTGCCCTACCACGTGACTCTGCTAATGCTCACTGTGCAAGGGATCTACACCTCCCTCCCTTGCTACCTGGCCCACCTGCTCTACTTCTACTATGACATCATCGACTGTTTTGCCATGCTGCACTGCGTCGCCAACCCCATTCTGTACAACTTTCTCAGCCCTGCTTTCCGAAGCCGGCTTCGGAGCGTGGTGGTCCATTACCTGCCTAAAGACCAGGCCAGGGCAGGGGCACAGGCTTCCTCCTCCTCCTCCACGCAGCACTCCATCGTCATCACCAAGGAAGGCAGTCCGCTCACCCTAGCAAACGCCCACCCTCTCCCCAACCCAAACTCCCAGATGTCCTCTGGGCCCCCAACTCTGGACTCTGCCATCGCATAGCCAGCTGAGATCAGTTCCAGGCTGTTTGGATCCAGAAAGCAGAAGGAAGGGGAGGTGAGACTCGATTTGCCAGACAGTATCAGAGATAGAGAACCTTGATTGAACTTTTAATTAAATGAAAATCTGAATTTAAAATTATATTTTAAAATACAGAGGTGGGGAGAGGGAGAGGGTGGAATGCAAAGAAAAACAAGTCCTTCCTTGGTGATGTACTATTTGCTTGGGTTTTTATGTCAGGGGCCGGGCAGGGAGCAGGGAAGCAAAATAAATAATAGAGACAGCCATGGTTCTGGATTTCTGAGACCTCTTCACACCCAGCTGGCCCGGGGAAGGCAGCTTCGGCTAAAGGGATGCGCTGCAGAGTGAACCACATGTCCTCATTTCATAAATCACCCTAGCCGGAAAGAGTGAGTCCCACAGGAACCTCACAAAACTTTGCTTTTGTGTTTGTGTGCTTGTTGATCTATCTCCCTGCGCAGTTGTGAGGACAAGAGGCCAGAGGCCAAGGAGCCCGGAGGCCTCACAAGGCCACTCCCTGCCAGTGCATCCTCAGTGCACCGATAAATGGAGGGGGTGGGGCGAAGCTGGGGCTCAGACACCCTGGCAGCTGGGTCAGCAGGATGGTCTCTTCACCCTTGACATCCAGGAAACACGGCTCCATTTCCTTGCTGATACCCTTCCCTTCCCCTTGTCCATCCTGCTCTCTACCCCTTACCACCCCCACCCCTACCCCCAAGCACAGGCAAGCTGTGTTCCTCACAGTGAACCTCCTCACCTCCAAAACTAGGACACACTATTTTTTTTTCTTTTAATGGCACTAGAGTTTGAAGTTGGGACCATGCACTTGCTCAGCAGGTACTCTCACTACTAGAGCCAACCCTGTCCTTTTTGCTTTAGGTTATTTTTCTCTCCCCCTTCTCTCTTTACTTTCTTTTCTCTCTCCCTTCCTCCCTCTCTCTTCTTTCCTTTCTTTTTCTCCCCTTCCCCACTTTTTTGGGGGGGCTTGTTCCTTAGGGTTGAACTCACAACTTGCACTCTTGCTTGGATTTTTGTACTGGTCCCAGAGCTCAAATTTAGACCCTGCACACTGTCTCTGAGCACCCTACCATGAGTCACAGCTCCACTTCTAGGTTTTTTGGGGGATAGTTTATTGAAGAAAAAAAAACTCTTGTGGACTTTTCTGTGTGGGCTGGCATCGAACCTCACTCTTCAGATCTCAGCATTCTGAGGAGCTGGTGCTCTACCACTTGAGTGATATCCAGTTCCTAGGTTATTTTCACATAGGGTTTTGTTTTCTACCCGTGGTTCTGTCTTTATAGCTAGAATTACAGACATGAATCATTGCTCACATCTTGCTTGAGATAAGTTTCATTTTTTGCCCAGTCTGGCCTTGAACCTCAGTCTTCCCCATTATAGGTGTAAGCCACTATGCCTGGCCTAAGACACCATGTATTAAAGAGACAGGGCTCTCAGAAATCCCTCTGCCACCCTCCTCCCTTACTTCTCTCTCCAGATCATAGGGAAATACCAGGGGCATTCATTCTGGAAGGCAACCTAGGGAAAGGCAGCAACAGGAACCAAGAGTAGCCCTATTCCTCTGCCTTTGTTCCCTGCTCTGTGACGGGAAAAGCCAAAGTGGAAATTTCTGATTTCGGTCACAGGCCAGAGCTGTGGCACTAAATCAGTTCTCCTTCACCAAATATCTTCACCAAGATTTTTCTGTCTAGCAACTTCTGTTTCTTAATATAAAACAGGGCTGGGAAGGTGGCTCAGTGGTAGAGCGCTTGCCTTGCATGCATGAGGCCCTGGGTTCGATTCCTTAGCACCACATAAGCAAAAAAAAAAAGCCGGAAGTGGCGCTGTGGCTCAAGTGGTAGAGCGCTAGCCTTGAGCTGAAGAGCTGAGGGACAGTGCCCAGGCCCAGAGTTCAAGCCCCATGACTGGACCCCCCCAAAAAACCAAACAAATAAAACAGATGGGAGAGAGGTTCCTCTTGCAGGTACATTCATCAGTATGGAAAACTAGCACCAGGCACATGAAGAGAAGAATCTGTCATGAAAGCCTGAACAGGTGCTAGTTTCCAGTTCTACATACTTGGCCTTTGTAGTCCTGCTTGCAGAGAGCAGAGGGCTTGCAGGTGTAATTGCTGACCTTTCCACGGTCCCTCGTCCCCAGTCCTGCTCAGGAACCGTGTGTCTGCAACGATACACTGGAACAACCACTCACTTGCAGGAAGTCTGCTTTTAGAAATTTCAGCCTGCACTTGGCAGGTTCAAGAAAAACTCACTGCAAACCCAGGGCTTTGTCAGGGTTACAGAGGGAAAGCCAGTGTCTACCATCTCCTCCTGCTAATTGGGTCCAAACATGACAGCTGTTGAAGCTTTTCTTTTGGTCAGTCTTGGAGCTTCAACTCAGGGTCTGAGTACTGTCCCTGAGCTTTTCTGCTCAAGGCTAGCACTCTACCACTTTGAGCCACAGCTCCACTTCTGGTTTCCTCATAGTTAATTGGAGAGAAGTCTGTGAGACTTTCCTGCCCCGGGTAGGCTTCGAAACAGGATTGTCAGATCTCAGCCTCCCAAGCAGCTAGATTTCAGGCATAAGCCAGCAGTGCCCCGCTGAAGAACTGAGACTTATTGAACCACAGTTCTGTGTTGTGGCTGGGGGCTATAGTGAGGGTTCACCCTAACAATGCAGACACTGCACCAGAAAGACATTCTTCCCTTGTCCCCATTTAGCAAACCAAAGCTTGATGCCCTATTACCACATTCCCCGACTTGAGAGCTTTCTGAAGGAAACCTGTTTCCATTTGTTACATCCCCGATCACCACAGAGGCCACTTCCCCAGGCCCAGTTATCACCCTTAGTCTTTCCGCCCACAAAAGAGAAGAGAGGGAACTGGCTATGCTGAGTACAAGCCTTTCCTGAGCTGGGCCTAGGCTGTGTGTAGGCTGTGTGCTCTGTGAGAGGGAGCAGAGGTCTGTCTGTCTCTGTGGGAACACCCTATCAGCATGTAACCTTTGCCGCTTCCCTGCCTGCTCTTTTCCTCACTTTGTCTCCCCATCTGTCTCCTCCAAAGGCACACAGCTCCCAATAGCATAAATAATTATAGCAAGATATGTGGCCAAATCCCTCACATAATGACTTGGGGCCAAGTGGACATGGCAAAAGCCCATGCTCCCTTCTCTGACAGAAGACCCCTCAGGAATGTCCCCTGCAAAGGAACTTAATTTCCCACTAGCATCCTGTCAACAAGTGGGGGAAGGGGGGAGTGGGGGAAGAGGGGAATTCCAGCTACAGGAAAGGAGAATGAGTCTATGAAAGAATCCTGGCATCTTCTAAAAGAAAGATGAGCCAGGTGTCCCTGAACTCAAGCTATGAATGGATTCACAGCCCACAGGAAGACAATTCCCATTTCAAATTTCTTCTTGTTTTTATTATTCTAAATAAAAAACACACTTTGTGCTGAACAATGGAATATAAAAGAATCAGATGTACAACGATTTTAGACATCTACTATTCAGGGGGGAAAGTTTACAAAATATACAAAACTTTACAGCAATAGATAGTAAACACTTAAATATTAGGAGGTCAGTACTTCTTAATTTAATGGAAGGAGTTGACAATAACTCTTCTGGGTTTCCTAAGAGACTTTTAACTAGTAGGAGTGGGTGGACTGGACAAGGGAGGGTGTTAAAGAAACATTAAAACCGAAAGTCTCCTTTTCATTCTGATGTGGCATTTAATAGAGTCACATTGAAAGTAACGTTTCATAGCCGGTCTCCTGGCCCACCACAGGATGCAGGAGACAGGACCCGTGGGCACTCCTGATGGGCACACCCTGCTCCACACAGCCCACTTCCATGCCAACTCATCAGTGTCCATCTAGAAAGGTTTCAATTCAATTTCAAAGTTGAGTAGTCTGGGTTGGGGAGTGGAGGGGGAGTAAGGGGGGGGGGACAGGACACAGCAGGAAGCCAGAAGAGGAAGAAAATTATCAGTAGCAAAAACCTGACTGGGAAAAAGATACTTAAGCCCAAATGTTTGTTCTGGAGACAAAGGATTGCAGATAGATAGAAGAATGAAAAGTAACTTATATCCATTTCCTGGATCTTAGCGATTATCTGGTCCTTGCTCCCCACCTCACCTCCTTCCTTCCTGTGGGGACTCTATGGAGTCTTCAATTTTAGGACCAAATACTAAGGATCAGCAGAGCACCCATATGCCAGGGCACTGAGCCCTTCCAGCCAGAGAACTTGCTGTTTTGTCAGTCAAGGGGCTTGAATTTAGGGCCTGGGTGCTGTCCCTGAGCTTTTTTGCTCAAGGCTAGTGGTCTACCATTTTGAGCCACCCTTCCGGTTTTCTGGTGGTTAATTGGAGATAAGCCTCCAGGTGGACTTTCTTGCCCGGGCTGGCTTTGAACCACGATCCTCAGATCTCAGCCTGCTGAGTAGCTAGGATTATAGGGGTGAGTCACCAGCACCCGGGGCACAAGAAGCTGCTTTTTATCCAAGTCTCAGACAAGTGTTACAGTTTCCTTACACATGGGAGTGCCCCAAGTTTGGTTTAATGCTGTACAATTGCCATCTTGAAATTCCTGACAGCTGTGAACAAGAATGTTCTACAGTTATACAGCTGGCCCTGAGGATGAAACACGAAGGGAAAACAGGTGAAGCACTATTTGACCACTCAACGGTCCAACAACTCCCCAGCAGGCCAGTGCTCAACTGGCCTCCAGGAGAGAGGAAGGGAAAAAAAATCAAACAGCCATTAGGTTGGCAAATGAAAAACAAAACAACCTTCCACCAGATGCCCTCTACAATATAGTGTTTCAAGTAAAACAACTCAGTGAACTAGAGGCAGAGAAAGCAAACAATCTCACAAGGATACAGGGTTCAGCTGTGAATACGGGGGTGCCCAGAGGGGCAGGGTTTGGTCAAGGAGCCTCAGGAACTACAGATCCTGTTTGCTACATGTCTGACTGAGACCAACTGGGCCTCCCTGATCAACCACTTAGGCTCAAGCAGAATCAGGGAGTACAGCTTTTTGTTTAGTGTTTCAAGGGCAAAGATTCAAGGATCTGCTTTTTGGTTTGCTGATTGAGAAGGGAAAACTTCACAGTTTCAGTTAAGTATACGGACCACCTAGCATCCTTTATGTCCTGCTAAGGAAAAGGGGCTCTCCAGCATGTTTATTCACTCTCATACCGACTGGGTTCTTGTAAGTACCACTCCTCTCAAGCTGACCATTCAACAGCTGAGCCTCATCAACTGTCTGGGAGGATCCCTTAGGCTTGAAAAGCATGCAGTCTGTTCATTCCCTTCTTAAATTCTTGTTTGTGTGTGTGTGTGTGTGTGTGCACGCGCGCACCCGCGCATATGCAAGCGTACCAGTACTGGGAGCTAGATGTTGGCCCTTAGCTATTTTGCTCAAGGCTAACACTACCACTTAACCTGTAGTCCCACTTTCAGCTTGTTTCATGGTTAAGGTACGTCACACAGACTTTCCTGCCTGGGCTGGCTTTGAACAATGATCCTCTTTTCTCAGCCAGAGTAGCTAGGATTATAGATGTGAGCCACCAGTGTCCTGCCTCTCTTCTTAAATTCTTACTGGTCAGTGTGACAGGAATGAGAAATTAGCACTGATTTCCTGACAAGATTATCCCCAATGAAAAGTAGCCACTGTACAAGTCTTGTCATTTGATAGGGGACTAAAGAGCCCACCAGGAATGGAACTTTGGTTTGCCCGTGTGTCTTATTTGAGGCAAAGACAGGAGGCCACCTATGTTTAGGATAAGAAGCTGAAAAGAGGCACTTCCTGTGGCTTGATCCTCTCAACTTCCATCACAGGATGAAGGCAGGACACAACTTCAAATATGGAGGTGGAGTTCAGTTGTGAATATGGGAAATACCCAAAGAGGTGGGGTTTAGCCAGTGAGCCTCGTGAGCAGTCTAGAAATTTAACAGGCCCCAACCTTTCAAAACTTACAGCTGTGGCCTTAAAGGGCTACCAGATTTATTCTGCGACAGGCTAATGTGGAGAAAAGATAACTTACTTGCTTAAAAGATTTGACTCATTCTCCCCATAGATCCTCCCCTGTGCCTCAAATCTGTGGTGAGGATCGGCCCGTGGAGTATGACTACTTGCTGGGGAGAAACTCGTTTTCCTAAAGTTTCTTATCCAAAAGAGATGCTGGGTGATATGTATACAAAAACAAAAAAATAAATAAATATCCCAAAAGGCTTTGTGAATTAATCAAAACCACTTGCTTGTAACTGAGCCCCGGGGTGCTGCAGTGACAGGGCTGAGGCTAGGGACTCCCAGAGCTCACCTGAGCAGGGTGAGGTAGTATGAGCTACTGAGGTGACACTTGTAAGTATGCAAGATTGAGGCCCTCTCCCTCTCCAGCCTTCTTTGGGTGAGATCCCTTCAAAGACCAAATAAGAATGCAGCCAAACAGCCATGTGGACTGGGCCATCTAGGGAAGGAAGGCCTAAACCAGCTGCCATCCAACAGCACCCCCTGGAGGTTAAGCAATGACAGACCAGGATGGATTCCAGCAGGTCAAAGGTGAGCTGCCAAAGCTCCCACTTAGCACAAAGTAAACAATAGGTTACCAGCCTAGGATAGTTGGAAGCTGGGATGGTCAGAATGCATACCCTGCTACACTTTTGGGGTTACTCAGGCCCTTTCATCCTAAAGGGCTCTCAGTCTACCACTCCACCACCTCACAGGGTCTTCATACCCACACTACAGGCCAAACCCTTCTGGGTGGGAGACTGGATGTCAATTAAGGCAAGGCTGCTATTTGTCAGAGCCCTCCCCTCCACTCCACTAGGAAACTCAAGGTCACTGGAGGAGGCCAGAAAGGACAGATGGCCGTATCAGAGTGGCTCCCTGTCTTTCAGGGAAGGCCTGATGCCCTGGGCCTTCACTCCACAATATTGTTTCTTTGGAAATGAGAAAGGGGAAGCCTCTTCTGTCCATCCAGGTGATCCCATCTGGTGACACTACAGGACACCCCTTCTGCCAGCAAGGAGTGATCCAAAGCTTTCTATCCTGAACAGGAAGCTTGGTCCTTAGTTTGGCTCGAGATGCCCAAAGATTTTCACAGTCCAGTCAGCCCTGGAACAAGCAGGTCCCCTCCATCCCTGATACCTTTTCCCTGCTGAATGAGGGCTGGCACTAGAACCCGGCACTGAGGTGAAGTGCCCTGCTGGCCAGTCCTTTTGGAGAGACCACAATCCCCAAATCTTTCTCATCGCTGGTTATCCCATCAGAGATCTGGCGGTAACACCCACAGTGAAAACCTCTTCGCCTCCTCTATCCAGTGAGGCTGTTGGTTGGATTCTTAGCAGCATAAAACCTATCCGTAAACTAAAACTAGAGAGGCTGGGGAAGGGATCTAGTTGATCTGCTTCGACTAGATCCCCAAACCAGCCTTGAGAGAATCAAAAACACAGCCCTTTGTGGGCAAGAACAGGTATGGAGGTAAACGTGATAGGGCCATTGCTGCTCAGGAACAGTAACAGCTTATGTGCTATTTCTTCTTTCTTCTTCAAACACAACACAGAAGAGAAATCCTAGCAAGGCAAAACTGTAGCTTCAGCTGGGGAGGGACCAACAGCCTCTAGAAAAATCACCATCCTGGCTGCCGCCTGGGAGCTCCCACTGGCTCTGCTGGGACTCAGTCAGGTGTCCGGGTTCTTTTCGGCCTCTTTGGAATGGATGATGTACATGAAGGTCTGCTCAATGGTGAAGTCAGGCGGGAGGCTGCCTTTGTGCACCCCGACATGTTTGCTCATGAGGTTAAGGGTAGAGCTGTAGTGGCCACACACCGTGCAGCGGTACATGAGTGCCCCTGAGTGTGTCTTGAGGTGGCACTTGATAGTGGAGCGGCCGCGGAAGAATTTGTGGCATACCTTACACTGGTAGGGTTTCTCCCCTGTGTGGATCCGCCGGTGATAGTTGAACTCGCTTGTGTGGGCAAACCTTTTGCCACAGACCTTGCAGCTGTACTTGCTATTCCCGGGCTGGCCCTGCAGAGCCAGCTCCTCACTCAGAAACTCCTCCACTGGCAGCTTCCGCTTCTGCAGGGCCGGATGCTGCAGCCCCAAGCCAGGCCTCGAGTCGAGGCTGCTGTTACACTTGTGCTGGCTGACGTGGTAGCGGTAGGCAGCCTCAGACCTGAAGCTCTGGCTGCACAGGTGGCAGCGGAAGAGGGCATCTTCCAGGCTTTGGTGCACAGCCACGTGCTTCTCCAGGAGATGCCAGTCCACAAAGCTGCTGGCACAGACAGAGCAGGAGAAGACTGAGATGCCCAGATGAGAGAGCGTGTGCCACATGAGGCTACACAGGTTGAGGTGGCGCTGGTCGCAGACGCTGCACGCCTGGCCTTTCAAGTTCAGATGGTCGAGGATGTGGCCCCGGACCACGTGGAAATCTTTGGCCAATGCTTTCCCACAGGCAGCACATTTCAACTCTGGGGAGGCTGCCCCTGAAAAGATACCTAGTTTCCCAGGCAAGGGCTCATTGGGGTGGACAATGATGTTGTTCTCGAATATTCCATCCCTTCGGTGAAGGGTTAGCTGCCACTGGGTAAAGAACTTGGTTTCACACATGTCGCAGGAGAAGAGGAAAATGCCAATGTGGGACAGGACGTGGGTCACCCGGGAGTTTCGGTCCTGGAAGTGGGTCTCACACACTTTGCAGTTGCCTGTCAGCAGATCCACGTGGTCCCGAGCATGCTGCCGGATCAGCTGAATGTTGGGCTCTAGAACTTTCTTACACACCTGACAGGGCATGGCCTTATTTTCCCGGTTGTCATTTTCGCCAAAAGTCAGCTCGTCCTCACTGTCATCACTTAGCTCAATCACCTCCTCAGCTGTCCCGATCTCCTCAGTGGGGTCTTCAAACTGCAGATCATCGTCCCCCAGATCCTCCAGCTGGAGCTCATCCATCTGCCCAAAGCCTGGCTCTTTGGAGTGGTCACTATTGCTCAGACAGGAGTTGGTCCCAGTGGTAATGTCTATTGCATTGTCAGGAGTAAAGAAGCTGTTTTTATTGAAGTCTCCATTGCTCTGAACTTTGTATGGCTGGCAAGAGCTGGTACTGGTCTGGATGCCCGCATTGACAGTGCCTAGGCCTGGCTGGGTCATAAGAGGCACAGACGTGAACGGGGCGGGGGCGTCGTGGTCTTCTGTCTTTGGCGGCAGAGGTGGCTGCGGCAGAGGCTGGCTATGGTGATTCGGATCACTGGCAACATTCCTCTCCTCCTCTTTGTAGCTTCCTCCAGTATCGGCGGACAACACATAGTGTCTGTCAGGACCCAGGTGTTCCCCACCACCCCGGAGTTCTCCAAGGGGATGGGTGGGATCTGCTGCAGGACAAGTCAGACTACTATACTGGCTGTCACTGGTGCTGCTCAGGGGTTTGGTCACAGCCGTGCTCTCCAGGTCAGGAAAGGTGGAATGACAGGCCTGAAGCAGGTCCTCCATGCCCAGCCGCTCAGCTACCTCGTAGATGACCCCAACATTGATAAGGTCTGTGAAGAGCTCTGACGTGTAGACAAAGCTGAGAATCTTCTCAAAGTTGGCGGGAGTTATGAAGTCTACCACATAGGTCCTGGCGGCATCAAGCCCAGTATTCAGGAAGAGGTTCTGGAAGTAGCCAGCCGCACAGGCCAGCACGGCCTTGTGGGCCGGGAAAGAGCGGCTCCCCACCACAATGGTGACATCACACATGGTCTCCGAGAGCCGGCACTTGTTGAGTTCCTTCAGCAGGTTGTTGGGGTGGTTGGTGCTTTGCAGTTTGATCCTCATGCCCATCTTAGCAGCTCCTGTGCAGTTGCCTCCTTACCAGCACAGTTAATCTGCAGATAGCAAGAGCAAAAGGTGGGTGACCAAACACATCCCTGCAAGACAAGAACACTGCAGGAGAATATGCTGTCATCTGGAATGGGGCCAGACCCCAGGGAATGGGAATGAACAGACATGGAGGCTGTTCCATGCTGCTGAGGCTAAAGACAGCAACAATGGAGAGACAATGACCCATCCCCCTGCATAAACTCATAGTTATATGACAAGACCCAGAAGGAGGCCAGGCATTGGTGGCTCATGCTTATAACCCTAGCTACTTAGGAAACTGAAATCTGAGGGTAGAAGTTTGAGGTCACGTCAGGCAGACAAATCTGTAAGACCCATATCTCCAATTAACCAGCTCTAAAAGTGGAGCTATGGCTCAAGTGGTAAAGCATCAGCTTTGAGTAGAAAAAGCTAAGGGACAATGCTTAGGTCCTGAGTTCAAGCCCCAGTACCAGCACAAATAACACATACACACCCAAATGCATGCACACACCAGAAGGAGTGAAAAACAATCTGATTAGTTTGGTATAAAAGCTAGGAAGAGCTTGGGTGTGGTGGTACATTTTTGTAATCTCAATGCTTAGGGAGGTAGGTCTGGAGTTCAAAGACAGTCTGGGCTACACAAAGGAGACTGTCTCAAGAAGAAAGAGAAAGACAGAGAGAGAGAGAGAGAGAGAGAGAGAGAGAGAGGTTGTAGCCTCAAGCTAGTGCCCTAGAGCCAAGCAGAAAGCATCTTACCTAATGCAATCCTTGATTTCACTGCCTCACTCTGTCTTCTCTTATTAATTTCCTCCTAAATACATGCTTTCCTATCTCATTGAATCTATTACTGTGATGCCAACTGTCATAAATATATCTGAATCCAAATGATCAAACCTCCATTGACTACTAAAGAAGACACATTAATCAAATGCCAATTTCTTGGTATTTATTTTGTTGGGCTGTTAGTTTTTCTAAGGAATTACACCCTTTGAATTCTCTCCTGCAAATACCATACTTTGGTTAATACATTCGGTTACAGTTGCACACAGTCCTGTATGTGTTTACTTGTACATTTATAAATTAGTTCTAGCTTCCTGAAAGGCAGGAGGAGAGGTTAAGAGGAGAGGGGAGATGAATAAAGAGAGGAAGTGAGGAGAATACAGTCACAACGCTCAATGCATGTCTTATGAAATAAAGAAATTCAAGGAGAGGAGTGCGATTGAGAGGGATGAGGGAGAATGCTGAAAAGGGGTGACATTGATCAAGATGCATTGTGTTCATAAGCTGATCTGTAAAATGGCAATTTTGTGCATCTACTTAAAGACAATAAATTAAATAAAAAATTAAAAAAAATTTTAACAGAAGAAACATTTGGCGGTGTCCTAAATAACCTCACACATCTGAATCCCCACTCTCCCTACCTACACTGAATGCTTGTCCCGTTGTAACCTGGACTCATGCTACTTCCCCATGCTACTTGATTACACTGTCTCAGTCTTGTGAAGTTAAGACCAAAGAAGAAAACAGAGCAAAACACAGCAGTGGTATTTAATATTACTTGGATCTGTCTTTATCTCTTCTCAGGGTCTGTGCTTAATGTTGACCTTATACCAACAAAAATCGGATCCCTTCCGAAAGCCAATCTATCACGAAGGTAGCTCCTTCAACATCACTCCCTGCCCCGCCCCCCGCGCCCCTTTTCAACTCCTGCTGCTCCCAGGAAGAACGGTGAGTTGCTGGGGCTCACGCCTCGCCGAGGGCAGCCCAGACCCTCTGCATTTCACCAGATTCTACCAACAAGTCCCAACTTTTTCTGGGGCCCAGCAAGCTCGAGTATGGTTGAGTACCAGTACGCATCTCCCTGGGAGCCGCTCATCGGTGGTGGGAGGGTCAGGGCTCTGGGCAGCTTCCAAAGGGGAGGAAGGGGGGGGGCGGGACATTCGGAACTTCCAAGGAGGAGCACCCCCCCCGCAACAACCAAGGGGCTCCCCTCCAAAGGGTCGGGGTCCGCCAAGGGCTGAGCATTGGATCCACCTCCGGAGAGGCGGGGGTGTCCAGGCGCCTCGGTCCCCCCCCTCCCCGCCTCCAAGGGCGCGGCGGTCC